TGTTCTCACTTCCAGGAGGTCTTGGAGCAATGGCTCAATCGCCATTTGGTTGATATATTGTAGAGGTAAATCTTGTTCAGGTACGGGTTGAATTAGATGGCTTTGGTGTCCCTACCTACTCTGAGATTCAGTGATTCTATATTTTCCCTAATGAAAAGTAGGGATGCTGTGTCTTCTGAGGTAGGAGGGAAGGAAGATGGAGGACAGGTGAGGAAGTTCTTATCACATGATCTCAATCTTCTTAATAAGAGATAGTATGATATAGTGGGAAGAACTCTGGACTTTGAGTAATGAGAGACATGAATTTAAACCCTGACTCTCACACTTATCAGTTATGTGACCAAGCAAATCACTCAGGGTCTCCAAATCTTCCTTTCCTTTGGAACAACTGGGGTCATAATGTAGTAGGTAATTTCACAGAGTTGTAATGATGATTGAATAAGATAATGCATTTATAAACCACCAGGTATGGCAGTGGAACACAGGGCTTTAGGTTTTCTTCTGAAGGAGGAACTCAAGTCATGCCAATGGTAAAAGGACAGAAAAAATGCTGCATATTTCAAAGGCTCTTTGTCTTTTGGAAGAGTTATGGAGTTGTTAATAAAAGACAGAATTAGTCAACATTAGTTGGTTCTTGCTCCCAGGCCTAAAGGAAGAAACCCTCAATCTATATACAAAATGAGATGAAGAAAACCCCTCAGGGCCACCCGGTATTGCACATGCTATATGGTCTTAGGTCAACCATATATGGCTTATGTAAAGATGCATTCAGGATAAAATAATATGTGAAACATAACCAGGGAACAGATAGTAATATTTGCTTGATACACCAAACAGGTAAATGCAGAAAAGGAAGTTGTATAGAGACAATTCAGTTCATCCACATTCTCTACATGGCATCTTTAATTTGCTAGGTGACCTACTGCAGTCTCTATATCCTTTTGAAGTAAAGGAAAAATAGGAACTTTTGCTATTTAATCCACTAGCAGTACATCTTCAGAAATGTCCCTTTCAATCAAAGTAATTTCCATTTCATATTAGAGTAGCTCAAATAATGGATGTTTTTCATTTATTGGGCTGATGATCATGGACCTGAAAAGGGAAACATTTAGCTAATTACCATTTTACTCTCCTTTTGGCATCGCTTCCCTAGCTTAAGTTTTCATTATCCAGCAAACTTCAGGGGCTTAAAAACCCTACCTCAGACACTTACTAGCTATATGACCGGGGCAAATCACTTAACTGCTCTGTGCCTCAGTTTCCTTATCTATAAAATGAAGGAATTGAATTTGATGATATATAAGATCACTTTCAGCTTTAGAACTGTGATCCTATGATCCTAGAGTTTATTCTCACATCCCATGTGTCAGGCATGGTGAACTTCATCTCCATAGGAATATGTAATTAGTCCCTAGTCATTTGCCTCATGGGGCTATATATGTAGCTTCGTAAATCTTAAAGTCATATATAAATAGCAGCTATTATTATTAGTGAAGAGGATTTTACTATTTAATCTTTTTCAAATAACCAAAATATTTTCTACCTACATTTTCCTTTATTGTAATATCCAAAGGGGAAACTAAAAATGCTAATATAGCATTTTCAAATTAAAATAGTTCTTTAAAATGATCATTCTAGTAATATAATTTCTATTTCCTTTAAAGATAATCCTTTTTCAAAAGCAAAATATTGGAGGCTGGAGATCTTTTGGTAGGTATTTTGCAAAAAAAAAAAAAAAATTAGAATTGTCACATTACTGTCCTAAAAATTAATTCAAGGATAGACATCAATACAATTTCTTTAATAGAATAACACTTAACTCTTTTGAGATTTTTCAAAGGACAAAGCCCATTATAAATCTTTGGAGAAACAGGATGTCAGATGCATTCACTAAAGAAAGCAAATTTCCTTTGTATGATAAATAACGTAATTTGTAAGATTGATGACTTTTTAAAAAACCTATCTGTCCATTTTCTGTGAAATTTCTGTCTCCTCTTGCCATTTTTAATAGTTCACTGGAAAAAGCAATAGCCATTATGTTTAGCACAGAATTCTGACAGCCCAATAGATGAAAAATATCCATTATTTGAGCTATCTCTAATATGAAATGGAAATTACTTTGATTGAAAGAGACATTTCTGAAGATATACTACTAGTGGATTAAATAGCAAAAGGTCCTATTTTTCCTTTACTTCAAAAGGATAATTACAGCATCCTGAGTAGTATTGATGGCAACCTAGTAAGACATTTTGTAATAATCAGGAAAATAGTGTTATTTCTTAAACAGCTTAGGAAATTTTATTTATTTTAAGGTATAATTAAAATAGGATCTTAAATTTCCAAGTTCTTACAGTATTTGTTTTGTATTTGTACAGTATTTGTATTCAGAATTTATCTTGAGACAATAAAATTCTGTAACTCTGATCCTGTTGGTGAGCTCATAGCTGGATGGTTTAGATGGTTCTCCTCAAAAGGAAATAGAACAAACTACATATCCAGGAGAAAGATCAAATGTTCCATAGGAAATAATAGCATTTATATGGTGTTTTCACAGAAGTGCTTTTTTTATTATTGAAAAATCATTTATAGAAAAACAACTATCTCAAAACTACTCAATCAAAAAATGGAGGTTTAAAACAAAATGGAGTCAGTTATGCTAAATCCATAAGCTTATTCCAACTAATTAAGGTACTAAAACATTTTCACTGGAGTAAGCCTATGATTGACTATCTGTAATTTCAGCATTTATACTGTGGTTCCTAAATATTAGGAGTCTTCCTGGGCATTTTATCTGGCTTTCCCTCCATGCCAGTAATGCTTTCCTTCATCTGCAGGGACTACTGGTTGCCCTGTCTTCCTTAATGTCTCAACCAAAATCCCAACTACAGGAAGCCTTTCCCACCCCTCTTAATTCTAGTGCTTTCCCTCTTTAATTAACTCCTACTTATCCTGTAGTTTGCTTTGAATATATTTGTTTGCATGTTGTCTCCCTCATTAGATTGTAAACTCTTCGAACTTGGGACTGTCTTCTGCCTCTTTTTGAATCCCCAGCACTTAGTAAAATACCTCGCAGATAGTAGGTGCTTAATAAGTGTTTTATTTACTGATTGATTGAGATCCCCTTTTCTTTCACACCTCTAAGATGAAGAAAAGTAGCCAAACAGGTTCTTGAGAATTCCTATACCCTTGACCCAAGAGCAATAGCTTTAAGAAGTATACTCACTGTTGTAAAATGGAGTTATCTGAGACATGGAATGGGCACATCAGCTCAGCAGAGCGAAGAATAACTCTGAATGTGCTTCTTTCTTCTTTTGTGTCATAAAAATATCTCCTTCTACAATTCTTCCGTCCCCCCCACCCCCATTTTCTTCTCCTTCTCCCAGTGATTGTAGCCTGAGGTGGAGCCAAACTAGGGTTGGAAGTGTTTGCTGTAAAATGTAAATATGCATCCTTAAGTATTTTTCATTGTATTAGGGAAAACCTTGGGGGAACTGTTTGTAGCATGCTGATATGTCTTTGAGCTATAGAATTTCTAGGGTGATATAGTGATTCTTAGAAGTATATCTCAAGCTGGGGCCTTCAAAGGCATGTGATGATGGTGGTGGTCATGTGTGGAGTTATGAAAAATCATTAGGACTTTTTCTTTTTGGTAAGTTGAGGAAGGGCTTTTTTTTTCCCATAAGTTAAGAGCAGAAATAGAGTTAGGATAGATGTCTCAGACCTTAGGTATGAGACTTAGGGCAAGTAATTTAACCTTTCATCTGTAAAGTGAGACTTTTCTGTATCATTTATGTCTGTATCTCTATATCTAAACAGAGTCCTATCTCTATCACCTGTATCCCTAGCTCTGTAATCTGTAAACTGAGCCCTCTATCATCTGTAAACTGAGCCCTCTATCATCAGTACCTGTAGCTCTATCATCTGTAAGCTGAGCCCTCTCTCTATCACCTATTATCTGTGTCTGTAAACTGAGCCCCAAACGGCTCCTCTTTGGGGAAGCTTTGGGGTTTTCTGTAAAACTAGCTTTGGGGAACAAATAAAATGCTTTCTGTAAAGCCCCGTGCAAAAACAAAAACTTAAAAGTGCTTTATAAAGTCAGCATTTATTACTATAGTGAAACTGGGTTTTAGACAAAGGGTTTGGGAAATTCTAAGACGGACTGATTAGAGGGGGTAGGAGACTGGGCCTACCAGAAATACAAAATAAAACTTCAGTAGCAAAAACGGGAGGGAGAAAGAAAACAGTGAGCGGGAATGGCAAAGATGGAAAAATGATTAAGACGCTGTTTTGTTTTCTGCGTTATTTATATCCTCAGAAAATATAAGCACACCCTAGGCTCCTAATAAATGCTGATTGATTGACTGTGGATCGAATGGCTATAACCTGATGAAAGCATAGTCTGAAAGGTGTGTACGGGAGGAGAGAGATTTCTTGCTTAGGCCAAGGCCAGGGGAGATAAGGACATAATTATAAAGTTCGAGGGAAGGTCTAGGGGTGGAAAGCCGGGGTCCCGACATCACTACCAGAAATACCCCAAGTGGTTCACCCTTCCTCCCAACCTCCGCTCGGGGATCCCCCTGCTGCTGGGCATCCTCCCGCCCAATCTGCCGCCTGCTTTAGCTGCTTCTTCCCCTCCCCCCATCCCTTTCCAATCAGAAACCCAACCGCCAGGCTGGACTCGAACCTCTGCTTCCGGTGGGGTGGAACCAGGCCCCGCCCCGAGCAGGGAGAGCTACGCCCTCCCCCCCGGTCCCTGATAGGCCGCTTCCCCTCTCCCCACTCCTGATTGGCTTCCTTCTCCCGCCCCTCCCCACCCAGCCCCTCCTCCACCGGGCCGCCTCCGTTCTTCCCCTCCCCTCCCCCCGGACAGGCGGGGCCGGGCTCGGAACGCGCCCGGGATTGGCTGCGGCCCGGAGCCGCGTTCGGCCCCGACAGCTCCTAGCAACCCCGGGGACGCGGCCCCGCCCGAAGGCAGCCGAACCCGGTCGTCCCCTTCGAGTGCCCCGGCACCATGACTTCGAAACAAGGCAAAAAGAAAGAGCTTCACCGCATCAACTCCGCGCACGGGTTCGAGAAATCGAAAGAGTAAGGGAGCACTTCCCACCTTATCTTCCCTTGCGCACCGCCCTCCCCCGCTCCCCCATCAACCCTGCCCCCTCCCCGGGGAGGGGCGGGGGGGATGCAGCCTACAGCAGCACCCGAATCTCTTAGGAACTTGAATCCCGACCCCCTCGCTTTTCTGAGGAGGAGACTGAGGGACAGGGAGGTTGACGACTTGACCAAAGTCGCACAGAGTCAGAGTCGGGGTCCCGTCACTCTAGACCCAGCCTTACACCCTGCCTCCTCTCCTGGTCCCCTCCCCCACCCCTCCCCCAACCTCCTTACCTCAGCAGCATCCCCTCCCCCCACCAGGGCCTTATAAAGGCCCAACTAACTAGCGTTTTGACCTTGGGCAAGTCACTTATCCCTGTTTGCCTCAGTTTCCTCCTCCTTAGAATGCGCTGGGGAAGGAAATGGCAAATCACTTTAGCTTCTCTGCCAAGAAAACCCCAAATGGGGTCACAAAGAGTTGGATCGTTCATCAGCCGGGGCAAAGCTACTCCGAGAGTGGTGGGGTTAGTCTGGGAGACTTGGGTTCAAAAATGGTCTCTGAGCTGCCTCACTGAGCGACCCTGGGCAAGTCACCCTACTTTTACTACTGCTTAACATCCTTGCGTATTAACTGTTACGCGCCAGGCATCCCTTGGCCTTCTTTTGCAACCCTGAGCCTTTCAGAACCCTTTCAGAACCATCATCTAAAAACTGACACTTTATAAGGTGAGTAATATTGCAACCCCTGCTTGATTCAGTAGCAAAAGTTGTTGGTTAAATGACATAGTAGATATAAAATCCCTTGGAATTAAGAACGTTTAAGTTCTATAAGAATATAAGATTGTTAACACATCTTAATACTAATTAATGTTAATTTTAATATTTTTTTTTCACAGAAGACATAATAACTAGCTTATTCTTTGGACCGCTGAGGTTCAGGTCTGTTTGGGGCATACAGTTTTGTTTCTTCTTTCTCTCCAGAGGTGTATGGTTTAAGGCTGGACAGTTTGATTTTTTTGACTTGTATTCTCAACACCTAGCACGGGTACTTGGTACCTCGTGGGTACTCAATAAATAAATGCATGTTGAATAGAAGGGAAATGAGCAAGAATAGAGTTTTAAGCGTTGGGAGTTGTTACATTCCTGTCTTTTTTCTAATTATGATGGTGTCCCTGAAATTTAGGTTCACACGTGAGTGATAAGTGATGCTCCTACTCCAATGAGATAATTTTTTTTCCTTCTATAAAAGGAACACATTTAAGCAAGACCGATCTGTTCACTGTGTGTGGTTGTCTGAGCTTGGGGTTTCATATTGGCCATTGCATTTATTCTGACTGAAGTAGTCTTTTTTTGGTTGTTTTTATTTACATATGTTGTTTTCTTGGTTCTAATTGTTTCAATCTACATCAGTTCATACAATTTTTTTCATGATTCTCTGGATTCTGTCTTTGAGTATTCAAAAGACTGATATGGCTGTTGTGACCCAGAAAGTTCCAGAGGGGAGGATTTTGGTTAACATTTGGAGTTTCTTAGCAGTTAGAGTTTGTCTTTGACTTTCTTTGGGATAATAGTGATATTGTTGGGTCAAATTTTAACTTTTCTTGTATAATTCCAGATTGTTTTTAAAGTAAGTTTGTACCATTTCACAACTCTGCCAATAGTATTGTGCTTGACTTCCCTGGGCCTTGCAACTTGAACTATTTCTGTTTTTGATCATCTTTGTCAATTTGATGAGTGTGAGGTGAAACCTTGGGATTGTATCAATTTGCATTTCTCTTATCACTGATTTAGAACATTTTTTACATATGGTCACTTGGTCACTGATAATTTACGTTTCTTTTGAAAACTGCTTCTTCATACCGTTTTTTAATAATATTTTCTTTTTTCCAATTACATGTAAAGACAATTTTTAACATTAATTTTTTCTAAAATTTTGAATTCTAAATTTTCTCCTTTCCTCCCTCCTCCCTCCTCTCTAAGACAGTAAGCAATTCTCTGATATAGGTTATATATGTGCAATCATCTTCATATCTTTCCCCCACTTCATATTTTTCCCCTACCTGTTGGAGAATGAATCTTGGTCTTGCACTTTTGTGTCAATTCCCTATATAATTTGGAAATTATGCTTTTGGTAGATATATTTGATGTAAAGATTTTTCCCCTACCTTACAACTTCTTTTCTTGTTTTAATGATTACTTTTTGTTCTTGAAAAAGCTTTAAAAACTTTATATAATTAAAATTATCTGTTTTATCTTTTTTTTTTTTTAGCCAAAGACAAGGTTTATTAGTTGGGCAGACTCTTAAGGAATTTGAACAGTGGCTAGATTGTAAGAATCTGAGCCTGTAGCTAGATTTTAAGAATCTGAGCATCTTAATGGAGACGAGATGGACCTTGTGTACAGAACGACTATGGGAGGGATCTAGGAGTGGCCAAGTAATCTATGAAGTAATAGAATTCCAGGGACCTGGACCAAGTGGCCAAGGGAGAATGGAGCCTAGATAGGATTAAGGGTGGGAAGTAGCCTGGGGCCATAGGGAGGTAAGACAATGGAGGCTAGGCTAAGGGTAATAGAATTGGGAGATTGGGTGTAGCCACAATGAAAGGCCAGTTGATGGGGTTATAGCCTCAGGCTAACCCCAGAGATCTGGCCTAGTGAGAAAGTCCTGGGTTTTTCCTTTTTGGGGTCTAGCTCCCATCCTCATCATTCCCCCCTCAAACAAATGGGACCCAAATTCTTTTGGAGTAAGGGGCAAAGGTCTTGGCTTCTGAAACTACTTCCTGCTGTCAAGGGGCATAGAGCAGTCCCTGCCTTGAGGGGATCCCAAAGAGAAGGTTGACTAGAACCCAGCACAGGCTGCATCCAGGGAATGATGGGGGCACATTGGCTGGTACCCACTGTTTGCCACCAACTGTAGGTGAATGGCCTGTAACCTGGAAGACAAAAGCTGACAGAAAAGACTGCAGGGCTCAGATATGACAAAATAAAAGAGCCTTAGCTCTGTTTGGATTCAGATAATTTAGTTTTCAACCATGCAGTATCAAATCCACTTCATAACCAGACTCAGGAATAGCCAGGTAGCTTTTCAAAGGAATGTAATGAGGAAACTGAGCCAGGAGGATCCCATCTTAGACTGAGGCTAAAATTGTCCTCTCAGCTTTTCCCAATGCTGACTTCACACCAGTATCACTTTCATTCCCTCTGAGTAGCTTGTGGCATTTTTCTCAGATGGTGGATTATTGATTATCAATGGATTATGATCCATCAGGCAACTCAAAATAAAATCCTATGAGCTTTTACCTCAAACAGCAAGTTTCACTAATCATAGCTTAGGAAAAACTTTTAAATTTAAATTTGTCCCGGTGTAAAAAGTCAATCATTAGAGATTTCTATATACTTGCAAATTCTCAGCAAGATAAAACCCAAACAAGCTTTTTGGAAAGTTTACACGTTAAAACAATAACCAACAATAGCCAAACTATTTTAGCGGTAACCAAATTGTGAAAAGTTGCTTGATGTAACTGATATAAAAAATTCACCAATTTGAAACTTGAAACAAATCCATTACCAATCAGGTGACTTCAGTTTTATTAAATACATTTCCAAATTACTTTACACAGAGAATCAACATCTCATCATTAACGTCAAAACTACAACTTTAAAAGAGCATGCTTACCCAAGTTCAGAGGCCAGCTTCTTTACCTTGAGCAGGATGTGCTGAACCTGGGTGATGCTTCCAGGCAAAGGTTGCCCTAGGGCCCAGGGCCATTGCCAGTGGGGCCCATGCTGTAGCTGCTGCCCCTCTCCCCTCCTTCCTTTCTCCAGGTGAGGGAGGGTGAAATCAAAGGTGAGGAGGAACGGGTGAAACTCTTTTCCTATGAGAGAGGTTAACAGATGCCCTCTTGACTCAAGGGAAGGGAGTGACCAGGTTGTATAGAGTTTTGAAACATTCCTTAATGATTGATGACAAAACTTTCAGAGTCTGCTAAGATGTTTTTAGCTGTTCTAACTTTTCCTGTAACTTCCATGAAGGAGGATTCAGGGGTGTAAAGAGAAGGGAGTCAGTAAGCCTCAGGGAACCAAAAAGCACCTGCAGTTTTCCCAGTTCCCTAGCACTGAGAGAATTGACAGGATAGGGGATATGCTTCTGGGTGGGTCATCTGTCCTTGTCCTCTATGTTGTGGAAGGTGTACCCAGGTCCATGTCCTCAAACTGAACCGGTGGACCAAGAGGCTGAGAGCATCAGGCTGAGTTTGATCAGCCTTGTAACTGTCTGGCCGAATAGCACCTCCAAGCCTTCCTAGGTGCTTGGAGAGCAACCCCAACTACAGAGTAAGAAAGGAGGGGTGAGGAGGTTTACATACCTTCCAGGCTTGGCTGGAGAAGAACTTGGGGTTAGGCAGTTTCCCCATGCGGGCCACCAAAATGTTGAAGTTTAGAGGTTTAGGGGTACTGGGACTCCAAGATCATGACATGCGGGTCCTGCCCGAAAGAATTGGACCCAAGTCTTCTTTCAGCCAAAGACAAGGCTTATTAGAACATCTGTCATATTGGGCAAACTCTTAAGGAATCTGAGCAGTGAGTAGATTGTAAGAATCTGAGCCTGTTTTATCTTTTATGACCTCTTTCACCTTTTGTTTTTGTTAAGAATCCTAACTGTGAAAGATGGGTCCTTCCATTCTCTTCTGGTCATGATATGTCATCATGTCTCTATTAGTTGTTTGTGGTGTGCAGTATTACAGATTCTGTTTTAAACCTCTTCTCTGTTTAGAAAAAAAATAAACTTTTCTGTTTTTTCCAGCAATTTCTGTTGGATAGGGATTCTTTCCCACAGTAGTTGTGTTCTAGGGTTACTAAACACTAGTTTACCATGTTTGTTTACCTTTAGGTCTTATATGTCCAGTTCCAGTGATATGCTTTTCTATTTTTTAAATAAAGTACCAAATTCCTTTGAGGAATACAATTTTGTAGAATAGTTTGAGATTTGGTATTGA